GTGGAACACTGGTAGTACTTGAAATCTTTTTTTTTCCAACTCCACTGGCAGTGTGTGTGTTGTCACAATTGAATTTTTAAAAATAGTGCTACTTCAAAGTACTTTTTGTTTTTGGTGAAATTAATGATCTTAACATTAGGTATGAGAAATTATCTTACTGTACTGTCCTGTATGCAGGATTGCAACTTATTTTTGGCCCAAATAGTTGACCAGCAATTATACTGCTTTCTATAACCAACACGTGGGGGAGGGGGACAACAAGTAACAAGTATTATTATTATTATTATATAATGGAAAATTTGCATAGCAGTTGAATTGAATGTAATCTCTATCTAATAAATCCTATGGTAATTATAATAATCAGCCTTTAGCTTAGCGTGTTTGTTCATCAAGAGAAAACATCACTGGTTTTGATTTCAGCACTAGTTTTCAATTGCAGAATGTGGACAGCTCCCGTGTGCTTAGCCACAGAGGCTCAGCCAGTTCAGCACCACTTGTACTGGACAGCTCCCTACACTGTGAAAACAGCATGTGTTTGACTGAGTAACTTTTAAGACAACCCCGGGGTCTTGTTATTATTTTGATCATGCAGTGTAAGAGCCCTACCCTCCTTGTTTTTAACCTGCGTGAGAAGTTCTTTTTTAAAACTTTTTCCTCTCTACCCTTACCCTTTTTATGATTCTTCTTATACGGCTCCTCCTCCTGTGCTTTAAAATCCCGACTAATTCTGTCGCCAAACAATGCTGACTTGTTCTTGATTTCGACACTCCTCACTCAATTTCACCCTCCTCCCCCTGCCAAATATAATGAGTAATTCAACTGCTGATTTCTCCACTTAAGCAGTAATGAGACAACAAGTGTCAGGCCTTTCTTAACCTTCTTAGGTCTAACAATTTTTTCAACATCTCTCGCCTCGTTCTCCTTATTTTACCCTTTATCTACTTTTCCTAATTCCCACATCTGCTCACACTTCATTTAAATGTCTAATGAAACTAGAAACTAATCGTCATAGTTTTACATTTGTCTCAATAGTAAAAGTCAACATTAACTAATTTTAGAAAGACTATATTTAGGCCAAGCTTAGAAATTATCCTAGTGCTTTAGGACAGGCTTAAAGATGTGTGTTGTTGTTGTGTTGTTATTGTGTAAACAACAGTGAAAAAAGAAGTGTTTCTTTTAAGGTTACACTAACCTTTTGTTTATTATTGTGCTCCCAGCTGGTTGAACCTTTAACACCCAGTGGAACAGCACCCAACCAAGCCCAGCTTCGAATCCTGAAAGAAACAGAACTCAAAAAGGTCAAGATCCTGGGTTCTGGGGCCTTTGGAACAGTGTACAAGGTAACACACACACACACACACACACACACACACACGAATATGTTTCCAGATTAATCTATTCTGTGATTTTACAACAAATTTTCAGATTAATACCTGAGAACAAAACATTAAAAAGTTAGATTCTAAATTATTTCGCAGAATGAGAAATGGTATGAACATTAATGAGGGCATATTAGACAGAGGGCTGGCAGCGAGGGATGAAAAGAATAAGTAATAGCAGACACTGAGACCCCCAGGGTTACGAAGAAAAAAAAAAAGAGTTGGCTGAGGTCACCAACAGTGTGATGATGAGTGAGGGTGAGGGGGGAAAGACGGTGCTGAAATTAGAACGAACAAATCCTCTCTCTCACGATCATCATCATTAGACACTTTGTGGATTTATTCCTTCACATTGTACCACATTTTCAGATGAAAGTGCAGAAGTCAAAGCAATATCTTGCATCATACCCTCACCAAGCTTTAACCTCTAGGCATTTAGACATAAATAGTCCATTTATAGTCTCCAGGACTGTTATACTTCCACGGGTTGCAGGCGAGTGCATTTGTAGAGTCAAAAATAATGGTTTAATGGTAAAATTCTCCCTTTAACTATAAGTGAACAAACAAACTTCATTGAAGGATCCCTTTACCTCTGGCACAGATCAGGGGTCATTACTAATGCAGCTCAGCATCTAGATGGACATGTAATCGGACTATTATTCCTTTACTTAACATATTTACATATGCAGTTTTAAAGTTTTAAAAGCCAACAATTTGTCTTTTCTCTGGAACTTCATTTAGGAAAATAACTTTCATTATTTTGATAAAATAATGCAAAATATTTATTAACTTCTCAGGTTCTTCTCTCAATATCTACAACAACCTTCTTGGCCATATATGTTGGAAGACTGTAGCTAATTTTCTTTTTTCTCTGTGTTGTTCTTCAGGGTATCTGGGTGCCAGAGGGTGAAACGGTCAAGATTCCTGTGGCCATTAAAATCCTCAGTGAGGCAACTGGACCTAAGGCTAATGTGGAGTTCATGGATGTGAGTATCTAGTTAAAGAATTTATTCTTTTCTGTTGTGTGTAAATGTGTTGGTATCTGTGTTTTATGCTAAAATATTAGGGGGAAAAAATCCTGTTTAAGGTATTTATTATGCATTCATGCATATTGTATGCAATATGTGTATGTATTGATATCACAAATACTCATATTTGGATCATATCAGAACTGTAAACCCACTCTTCAATATTTAAATGAAGATAATTTTATATTTTAAAAATGTGCCTTGCAGGGAAATATAAATAATTTAATGATCTTTTACCTCATGAAATAACATTAGGGCTGTAGGGTGAAAGTCAGGGCCTGATCACACACCATTAACAAATGTGCCTCAGATAATTTTGAACCTGTAAAGACATTTATTTATTTTATGGTCTGTATTGTCATTATACCACGAGGATACAACGAAACTGAGCCTCTGTTTTTAACCCATCCCCATGGGGAGCAGTGGGCACATTGACACAGAAAAAAACTCTAATTTTTCAAACCAGCTCCACTCTTTTTTTTTCTTCAATTGATACTTGGAGTAAAGGTAGTTTTTTTGTTGTGACGTTTGATTGTTGTGCAGTGAGTTCTTGGATGGCTTCCTGTATCTGGCAATCAGACAGAGCAGATATCAGCAGCAGACAAGCAGCATAAACTGTGGAGCATCAAAAGAGGCTGACATGGAGCTTTACCAAAGCTGATGATGGCAATTAAGTAGCCTAGCCATGCTATAAGCATAATAAGAACTAATTGTGCATGTAAATGCTCCAAGTCTGCAGTGACCAAACTTCACTGACGACACAGTTCAGCTTTTATCACCGTCAGAAATGGTTGGAGCTGCACAGAGCCCTGAATTGGAGTTCATCATTACAAGATTAGTAATGGGCTGCAGGCTGTGGACTTAGCAAGTAGATTCAGGCACACAGAGGAAACGGGACATTGATTTTTGCGTTTATTTTAAAGTGTTTTGTTTCGTTCTTTCATAAGTAAACAAAAGAAATTCCATTAGTTAAATGTCACAGTAATCTCCAATATATGGAATATACTGCAGCATCCTCTTCAAGATTCAGGTGACATTTACACTTCTTCCTGATAAATAAAATATCAACAGTAAGACACCGTTCTGTGTCTGTGTATTTATAGGACTGTTATACCATATTTATTTTACAAAACGATACAATTACCAAGTATCTTTTATTTGCGTACCTAGTACTTTTTCGTTGGGTTGGGTCAATAAATCTGCAACAGTGCACGTGTGTGTGTGCGTGTGTGCGTGTGTTAACGTACTTCAAATTAAAACAGTGGCTTGTGGCAAACAGGACACACTGCAGAGTGTTATTCCAAAAGAGTTTCCAAACCTTTGCCTTAGGCTTGTTTTTTTTTAACTACAAAGAGTATTTTTCCACCAAAAAAACTCACTCACATAAACATACATTTAAAATGCAGAGAAGCTACACATTACTGTAAGTCGGTATTTGACCATTGGCTGCTTTTGCTTTTGATGCTCTAAAGATTTTAATTCTAATTATTCTGGTTTTTGTTGTTTGGTGTACAACCATTTTCTTAAATGTCCTACCAACATTTCCTACCACAATAAATGTGAGACCCTTTAGTGACAAAACACAACACAAAGTGGTCTTTGTAGAAATTACTTTGGCCAGATCTTTAGTGACAAAACACAAAGCGGTCTTTGTAGAAATTACTTTGGCCAGAACACTGGACATTTGCTGTCCGACCCTAATCGTGTCACAGTATTTTGACATTTCTGGCAAGCATTTATTTCTGAATTTGTTTATGGTTAATTAAGATGTCAGAGAAATTATTTTATTATTAATTGGGATATTGTACTTTTAGTTATTAATGTGTTGCTTTTGCAGCATTCCCCAGTATTAAATGTAAAACATTTCTGTTGCAGTATATAAACCTTTTGTTTAAGGAGGTATCACAAGTTCCTCACAGGCGCTGACACAGCACAAGAAAAATCAAAGCTCGATGAATAAATCCACTGTGAACTCCTCTGATATAAATGTCTGTGACATGTGGTATTAAGACCGATCTGAGTTCAGTCTGCTTCACTTAAAGACACAGAGACTTCAACAGCCTCACCTGGTGTGTGTTTGTATTTACCCCTCGGAAGGCCGGCAGCCATGTGAAGCCTTCACTTTGATGTTGAGGGTTTGGATAAAAAACCTACTGTTTCTGACTCTGCGGAGCCTTGCTGCTCTCTTCAAGAGAATCCTGAGCCTTAAACAGAATAGTGGGCCCTGTGATCTTCAGGAGTTCGCTCCACACTTGTAAACATGATGGAGTTTGGCAGTGTGTAAAGTCGCAACTTTTTCTGAAGTCTTTGTCCATTTGCTATACTTGAAAAAACTTTTGATTTTGGTGCAAAATGGCACGTTTAACTTATCACAGATTGGCACACCACCTGCATATAATACACCTTTGAATGTTGCTGGTCAAGTCAAGCTCATTTTATTTGTATAGCCCTAATTCACAAAATGCATTTGTCTGAAACAAATTAGAATCAGAATCAGAAATCTTCTAAAAACAAAATGTGAAAATGGAGGAATACAGTCAATGTTATACTGAGTTTATATTAACAAAAAAAAGCAGAATATGTTTCCCAGATATTGTTAAAACCCCATCCCTTTTAACAGGAAGAGTTCTCCAGCAAATCCAGGCTCAGTGTTTCCGCCTGCCTCGGCAAAGAGAGAAAACAAGATATGGGGGAGCCGGCAGAGGAGAGAAAAGAAAGAGAGCAGGAGCAAACACAGTCAGACAAGTTGTTACAGTGCAAACACTACAGTTGTACAAAGACACTTCATCATCAAGTGTTAGATGGTAAAGTAGTTCTGCTGAGTTAGATTTTATTAGTTAGCGATAACAATATAAATAATGACAGCAGTGTCCGGTTTGGATCTGGTTCTTGCAGTTTTGGATGCACCTGAACCAGCGAAGTGAAGACAGTGACAAGGAGAGAGAGAAGAAGGAGACAAACTAGTGGATTTTTTTTTCTTAGAGCTTACTCATAGTTGGCAGAAATACATGGTTTTTTTTTTTGGTTGAAAAGTCAGCAGCAGTCTCAGCAATAAAGTCTAGGCAGTTTTTTTTTCTTTTTTCTCCTGGTCAGTTGTACCAGGTGCTGTGAGGTTGTACTGAGGTGGTCTTAAGGCAGCCAAGGGTTGTGATCTCTCAAGCATGTCCTGAGTCTGCCCTCGAGATGTCCGTCCAGATAGACATGCCCAAACACCTCCTCAGGGGAGCTGCTCTGAAGCAACCTTATCATTGCCCAAACCACCACAGCCTGTTCCTTTAAATGTAAAAGAAGCAGCAGCTTCACTTCATGGAATGTTTTTCTCCTTCTCTGACTGAGTCCAGCTGCTCTATAGAGGAAAGCTTTTCCCACTGCTTCCATGCAGTTCTTGTTCTTAATATTATCCTGACCACAGTAGAGGGTTAGCATAGATGAGAAAATTGAAAGCTTTTCTTTAAATAAATAAGTAATAATTTTGACTTAGATTTTCAAATCAGTTTCTGCAGTCATTAGTTTAATATTATTCACTTATTGCAAGGAAAGTTGAAACATAAATAATGTAAATACATAAAAAGAAATATACTATATATATATTATTTTTATTTTTTGTACAATCGCTATCACTGTACGTCCCTGAAGTAACGCGCATGCGCGAAAGTAGACCTGGTGTCCCGCGCTGGGTTTCAGGAGGTAATACGGAAGCTTCGCGTATCGGCGTTTGTTTATGTATTTAATAGTTTTGGAATCGATATGTCCCAGCATGATCGCGTTCCCTTTAATCCAAGAGCCAGGGGCGGTTGTGGGTCGCTTTTGTACCCCTAAGAACGGACGTCCAGGTACGGAACATCGGCAAGCTAACCTGTTGCTACTTCACATCCGGGGAGTTAGCAAACCTTTAGCAAACTAGCGCTGACTAGCTTCCTTGTTTGCATGTCTTTTCCTCTCCATTTTTCCATATTTTTATCTGAACTGTGAAAAAACTAAACTTCTTTTTACTTATGAATGTAAATGTTTTGGTTAAAGAAAGGTTAGTAAGTACACTACTTCTTTACTGTACTTCATTGTTATTTTTGGTTAGCATGTTTTGAATTCAAAACTCAGCCGTTTAAATGCCATTCATATTTTCATGGTTGTTTTTCACATAAAAAGCTAAAAATACGTGTCTCGGTATACAGTACATGTCACACTGTTGACAAAGGTCAACACCCACCCCCACCTCATCACCCCACATGCCTGAGTTGGTGTCTTTCTCATTCAGGAGGCCCTGATTATGGCCAGCATGGAGCACCCCCATTTGGTCCGCCTGCTGGGTGTCTGCCTGACGCCCACCATCCAGCTGGTCACACAACTGATGCCTCATGGATGCCTGCTCGACTATGTCCACGAGCACAAGGACAACATTGGATCACAGCTGTTGCTCAATTGGTGTGTCCAGATTGCCAAGGTAAAGAAAGGGGAAACATCATTAATACTTTGACACTGTGCATGCTTGTCTGGTTAAAGAGGCTGGGCTTATTTATTACCTACTTGACTGGTCAGTTCAATGTTTTAGTGAGTCTGATGTTTGGTTTGGCTTTTTGGTAATCTGGTAGATTGGCCTGAACTGGTAAAGGTTGTGATGTCATTTTTACGAAATGACGCTTTGTCTAATCCTCACTTGTTAAACCTGGTAACTATGGTTTAGTTTAACTTTAACAGCTGACGATGTCATCCATCCCTGCTATTAGCAAGTGCAAACCTCTAGACAACTGTTTTTCATCTGATGTAATCAAGTCAAACGACTGCTGTGCTTAGTGATTGAGATATAATAATGTTGGACATTCACTAACAGGAATGCATTTTTTTCTCATCCTCAAATTTCCAAAGTTTTTAATTAAATGGCAGCAAAATGTCTATTGTTGTTTTTTAGACCCAGCCATATAAGGTTATTACTGTGGAGTAAAACCGTTAGTTTGTCCTGATGTTTGAGATCAGTGGGGCTGTGAAATCGTGTTGGGCTCAGAACCCAGAGTTTGATTGAGAGTTTGAGTAGAACTATCCTTTGCTAACTGTTCTGTTCAGACCATGGGCTAGTTGTCTTACGGTCAGGCTTGTTTATTGGCATACAGTAAAAAAAAATCTGAAAGTTTGTCTTTGTGATTTTGGATAAAAAATAACAGCCATTGAAGTTAAATTATTGGAACCTCATCCAGATTGGACATATACTTAATATGTCGCATTGTCCAATCATCCAGTGAGTGGAGGATACAACTGTTAGATACAGTCTTTGTAATTAAATACGTTGCAAAGTCAACAAAAGGATTCTTTCAGCACCAGATTTAATATTCCAGTCTGCTTCAGGGGCAGCATTTCAAGTTATCAATTAATTACCTGCAGGAGCAGCTGTATTTCTTTGACATAAAATGTTTTAGACTGAAGGCAATCACGATGTGCATTAATTCTCACTCTAATGACACATTTCTGATGCTCTGTAAGACAAATATTGACATTCTACAGACTTAATTACTCAAATTGCTTTGTCCAGCGTGAGTGGGGATTGACTTTGCACACATGTATTAATACTGCATGTGCCCACTGTGAACAGTTGTCAACATGGAGAAATGTATAATTCATAAAGGGTAGATATGAGGATGCATTATTTACTACTGTTATGTGTCATGTGGCTATGGTTTTTTTTTTCTTTCAATAATTTGCTTTGGCTGGCGTCAACACAACATGAAGCCTTTCTGTGCCCTGAAGAGTTTATTACCTTGATTTAAGTGTCTGAAAACTGACATTGTCTTCGCATTAAGCAATACATCTAAATGAATTGGGATGAATCAAATCAAAATCAAACGTTCTGAATGTACAGTATGTATTTCACGTGACCACATGAGAGCAAAGCTTCAGTAGGCCTTATGGCTATGCTTACTCCTGTGACCTTCACTGTACCTGCTCCAACTGCAGAAATACTCTGTGACCAGAACAACAACAAAATAACAATAATTGAGGAAACAAATTAATGCAATAAATATGATTGCCTGCAGCTGTGTAGCCTACTGCTAATGGCCTACGGGTCCATTGCCACTTGTGCGATGTAGAGTCTCGAAGCGTTGTCAGTGCTCGTGTCCGGGTCCACTCACTAAGGCAATGTCTCCGCGGTCCTCCCTTTCTGTCATGGCTGCCATTGCAGGCATATATTATTAATGGAGCTATCTGCCCTGAGAGTCATGCTAATGAGCAGATTCATCAGAGCTACTATGTATGCAAGGCTCAGATGCCACAGATTTCTTTTTTTCCCACTTTCCTGTTTTATCTTTACATTCCCCACTACATCACACTCTCCTCATTATGTCTGCTTGCCTTTTAAATCACTTCCTACTTCTTCAACTCTGCTGTCTCTTTTTTTAGTCGGGATGGATGAGTTACAGTTTTCCATGTTTTGATGTGAAATCAGAGATGCAATGCACTGTTAATTGGTTGTAAGAAGCAATGATAACACAAAAATACAAGCAGCAAAAAAGACACTTGACCTTTTTAAAATTTTAATGTTTACTTTGTTAAGATACATTTATATGCCCTACAGTTTACTGTATTTCGAATTAAAACTAATATAAATGCATCAATATATTTTCTTTATTACACGCAGAATTCATTTTATGGAACGGATTTGTCTCTTCTCTGATTTTAAAATATAATACCATTATATTATTAGGAAATCAGAACAGTCCTCTTCAGCAGCCCTAATGGTATTTGACCAATTATAAATCATTAGTATGGTTTCGATTTTTGGTTTCACCCCTCATTGTGTCCCTGGGCAAGTTACAGGCTAACTATGTTATTGGCACATTCATTTTTTTAAAGTCCAGGCTTCTATTCTGCCCACTGGTACTCAACAACCTTAGAATGTGCTTGGATTTTATGAATGGTATCTTTAACTGTCAAAGAATTTGTTAAGTGGATCTGACCTGCCGTGGGTTTTTTTTTTTTTCACTCTCAAAACATCTGAGGAGACAAGTCAAAGCCGTTTTTATCGCAAACATAACAAGCTTAAAGGGAAAAGAATGGCCACAATGCAGTTATTCTCTGCGTTTGAATATTAAAATGTGACTGTTACTGTAAGGCGCTGTCCTGACAAGATCCTTTCCTTTCTGTAAACTGGGACAATTGGGAAGCTTACACAATAAATCCTTTGAACTAGCAGAGGGGAAGAAGGAAAGGCTTGTAAACAACAATAGTAGCTGCCAAAAGGATTTATTTTCCTGTTTGAAATTTAGTGTGAACATCAGTTATTTTGCCTTGGGTGGAAAGCTCAGCGTTGTCCTTCCTGTAAGGCTTTTTTTTTTTAGAATAGGGCATCATTTTACATTAATACAACAATTTAAAGAAATGAATTCTGTCTATGTTTACTTAAAGCTGTTGTTTGGTGCTTTGTGTGTGTGTGTGTGTGTGTATATTTGTGTTTTATAACAGGGCCCTACACTAAGTATATGAGATCCCAGGGTCATTTGTTTGTGAAGACTAGACCTAGCAAACATCCCTGTCTCCCACTCATTATATACATCCACGGGGTTACATAAAAAAAAACCCTCACCAAGGAACATGTAAAAGAAACTCAACATAGGGCATCATCTTTCTACAGTATGTGTAACCTCAACCACGGTCTGTCCGTGATAAAAACATATTCAAGTAAAAATGTAAAAAGACAGCACCAGCTTCCGTTATGTTGACCCCTGGTTAAAAAAAAAAAAAAAAAACACCCACAGGCAAGCTGCTGTATTTTCCGTAGATAAAAAAAAAAGGCAAATACTTCTACTAGTTGCCTACTTAAAATATAGTGTTTACAGATTGGACGTAACCAAGTGACAAATTATGAGTTCACAATTGTCATCTACCTTTGACTTTAGACAGTCATGCAACAGGCCTATCACAAACAGTGAACCTTCTAAGGTGAAAAAAAACATATAGTACTCTCTCTCTTTCTGTCTTGTTCTCTCTCTCTCTCTGTCTTCATATTTGTGTGTTTATATGTATATATAAATATTTACTATACAAATTAATATCCAAGGTTTTAGATTAATTTTCAAAATATCAAACTAATTATTTTAAAATAAACTGCGCAACAATAAAACACAAGTATATCGGGTGAAGTTAATCAAACAGCAATGTTACAGTCAGTCTTAGAATCACAAAAACTATGCTACTTCAAGTCATATTCAACCTGTTGAACAGTAGAAATACGTATTAGTCCTGTAAAAATGCAGAGTTTATTGATCTGCAACAACATGCTGGGGAGATGTCAAGTGATGTACCCTGGGAATTGGCAAAAGGACATCTCTGCCACCGTACTCAGTTCATTATAGATTTAACAAAGAGTAGATAAATGGCCGGAAATGTGCAATAAATACCAAAAAACACCCATTTTTATCTAAAGAAGTTCTCTAAAATATTTAATTCTAGACGCATAACATGGCAGCAGTTGTGTCTAATTGCAAACAGAGCAAACTTTAAGGCAGCAGACACACTGTACTGACTCACTGCTGGCATGTTGTCACTCAAAAGTACAAAAAAATAAACCACCATGTCTCTCTTACTCTCTCTCTCTCTCTCGTTCACTCTTATTTCCTATCTTCCACTCTCTTCCACTCCTCATTCCTCATTAGTTGCTGGCTGAGAGGAGATAGGTGAGGACAGGTAGGGCAGTGGGTATATACAGTTTGTCTTGAGGCAGTCTGCAGACTAGATGAGACTGGAGGCACAGACAGAGAGGTTTACACTGTTGAGTGATTGCTACTGTACATACAGACGTACACATGAAATAAGGGTGTGTAGATTGCACACATTACCCCAGGGTTAAATTTAAATGCTGCCCGTATGGAACCGCTGCTAAAGGCAAGGATTTTCAGCGCAAGGTCCATCCCGCATCGTTTTATGTTTGCAGTATTTATTATAAAAACTAAGGTTTACTACATGTTTTATTAATAGTTTTATTTTTCCTCTCCCTCTCAGTTTGTCAAACTGCAAATGTTGTCATTTCTTCTTAACCTTTTTCACATAAACACTGCTTTGGAAAATATCTTTGGAAATCAAACTGTTGCCTTATATCTCCTCCTCTCAGTGCTTATTAAAGAATGGCTTCACCGTGTGATTTCCTGTTTATTTCCCAGAGGAGACAAATATACCATCACTATTTGCTCTGTGAATAGTGTGTCTGCGTGTCTGTCTGTGTGTGTGTGTGGGTGGGTGGCAGTTCCACAACAGTATTTTTGTTTAATGCAGCCTAGAGGTGGACTTTCCACAAGCCAGTTGAAAATACACTTGAAAAGATATTGGGTATGTTGAGACGTAGTAGTTTGTGCAGCACAAAAACAATTAACTTCTTTGTAATTGTTATTGATTATAAGTGTCATTGTAGCATTGAGGTTCGGACCACTGTGTCAGGAGTGTTTGTTTGTAGAGGAACCA